AAGTGCACACTTTGTCCAGAGGGGATGCAGATATACAAATAGTCATAGAGCAAAGCTGTGCTGAAAGTTTCATAAATTCTCAGAATAATCTATTTACAATTTGTGAAGTATTTGTATCTCCATATGCAAATTTTCTACATATATGCATAGGAAAGCACAGATAAGTTTTTTATTTTTTTATACAAATTGTAATTATATACTTTTTTCTATACCTTTTTTTTCCCACTTAATATATATCCTGGTAGTTATTTCGTATCAGGAGCACATGGAGCTCTGTATCGCTAATGCTTATAAATGACCACATCAGAATTTCATTACATTGATGTGCTATAATTTAACAAGTCCCCTGGGGCTCAACATTTTGGTGGTTTCCAGTATTTACTATTACAGACAGTTCTTATGTGGTTCATGCATGGGCAAGTATCACTATATTTGTGGGAAAAATTCCTAGAAGTGTAATGCCTAGGGCAAAGGCTATGTGCTTTTAATGGTTTTGAAATACTTTTAATAATTCAGCAAAATTCAAATTACATGTGAATGTCCACACACCCAGCTTTTTATATTACTGATCTTATGTATAACCAGAAGGGATAAACGCAAAATACCAGACAGGAAAGGTGGCAGAAGGAAATTTGGAAAACTGCACATGTGGGCAAAAGGAACAGAAAGGATGTGTCATCATCTTCCCATTAGGGAATATTTTGGTTCTAATGACCCAAAAACGTGTGCTACTTCCCAAAAATTAGGTCTTGGTGCCCATTTTTCTCAATATATGCCTAATCTCGATAAACGAATCACACACACATCAGTTTAGGCTATTATTGTTAGCTGTTTTGGTTTCAAGGCTCTAGGTACCCGATGGAGTATCTCCATGTTGTTGTTTTTCTTCATTCGCGAAGAAATGTATGACTCTTTGCCACCCCATTGATTGTAGCACACCAGGCTCCTCTGTCTTCCACTGTCTCCCAGAGTTTGCCATTAAGTCCCATTTCATCCATCTGAATAACTGCATATATATGTGGTATAATCTCACAAGGTCTTTATCCATTCATCTGTTGGACACAGGTTGTTTCCATATCTTGAGTATTGTAATAGTTCTGCTGTGAATGTGAAGATGCAGATATCTGTTCAACGTATTATTTTCATTTCCTTTGGGCATGTATATACCCAGAAGTGGGATTGTTTAGTCACGTGGTAGTTCTGTTTTTAATTTTTTTAAGGAACCATCAGACTCATTTCCATACTGTTTATACCAATTTACATTCTGACCAACAGTGCATAAGGGTTCCCTTTTCCCTACCTCCTCATCAGCATGTGTTACCCCTTATCTTTTTGATGAAGGCTGTTCTAACAGGTGTGAGGTGATTATCGCATTGTGATTTTGACTTGCATTTCCCTAATTAGTGATGGTGAGCACTACTTCACATACTTGTTGGCCATCTGTATATCTTCTTTACAAAAATGTCTATTCTGCCCAATTTTTAAATTAGATTGTTTTGCTGTTGAATTTTATGATATTAACCCCTTATCAGAATATAGTTTACAAATTTTTTTTCCTCATTCTGTAGGTTATCTTTTCATTTTGTCAGTCGTTTCTTTTGCTGTGCAGAAACTTTTTAGTTTGATATAGTCTACATGTTTATTTTGCTTGCTTGTGCTTTAGGTGTCATATCCAAAAAATCATTACCAAGGCTGATGTCAAGGAGTTTTTCCCCAGTGTTTTCTTACAGGAGTCTTATGGTTCTTGGTCTTACATTTAAGTCTTTAGTCCCTTTTAGGTTGTTTCCTTCTTTTATAGGTTCATTCTTTCATTCTTTTATAAAAGAATATGTGACTAGCCAGTGTTCCCAGCAACATTTATTGAAGAGACCATCTTTTCTCCATTGAGTGTTCTTGGCTCCCTTATATTAGTTTAGCATATATACATGGCTTTGTTTCTGGGCGCTTGATTCTGTTCCATTTCCTATGTATCTGTTTTTATTCTATTATATACTGTTTTGATTACCACAGCTTTCTAAAACAGCCTGTAATCAGAAGTGTGATGCCTCCCACTTTGTGCTTTCTCAGCATTGGTTTAGCAATTTGAAGTCTTTTAGCTCCATGTACATTTTAGGATTGTTTTTTCTACTTCTGTAAAAATCGCTGTTGGAACTTTGACAGAGATCGCACTGAATCTGTAGATGGTGGCTCAGAAGAGTACAGAGTCTGCCTGCAATGTGGGAGACCTGGGTTCTATCCCTGGGTTGGGAATATGCCCTGGAGGAGGGCATGGCAGCCCGCTCCAGTATTCTTGGCTGGAGAATCCCATGGACAGAGGAGCCTAGCGGGCTACAGTCACGGAGTCACAAAGAGACGACTGAGCAACTAAGGATGCACACATAGTATGAACATTTTAACAATATTTGTTCTTCTAATCATGAGCTTGACATACCTTTCCATTTATTATTTGTGTCTTCTTCAGTTTCTTTCATCTGTGTCTTATAGTTTTCAGTGTAGAAATCCTTCACTTTTACTGTTTTTGATGTTATTGTAAATGGAATCACTTTATTATTGGACAGTTTGGTCTTAGTGTATAGAAATGTTGATTTTTGTAGGCTAATTTTGTATCCTGCAACTTTGTTGAATTCATTGATTAGATCTAACAGTTTTTTGTTGGTGTCTTTAGGATTTTCTATACATAAAATCATGTCATCTGCAAATAGTTTTACTTCTTCCTTTCCAATTCTGATGCTTTTATTTTTCTTACCTGATGTGCTGGCTAGGTCATTTTGAGTCTTAATCCCACACTGCCTTACATTGTAATAAAAAAGTTTCAGCAGATATGTCTTGCCTGCTAGTTCTTGGCAGTGGGAGAATATGTTATGTATGTATATTATTTTATAAATCTGCTCTAGCTGTAGTGCTGAACAAGTAATACTTTAATGAAAAAGTTATTGACTTTATTAAACCTAGGAGCAACCCTGAGTCATTTCCCCTAACCCATTACTTTACAAATAAACAAACTAGGGCTCCAAGGAGATGTCATGATTCAAAGTCATGTTACTAAAGTCAGAGTTGAGAGTATAACCCAGGTCTCCTCATTCTAGAACCTGCTTTTCTTTTCCTCTTTTGCCACCATCACTCTCTGATTTGATATAAGAAATATTTGTTCCAAGCTAAACACTGATTCAGGAAAAAAATTATTTACTTTGTACTTACTGGGTCTGGCAAGCCCTTGTTGATCCATAAAAGCTTCACATTGGTATGTGCCTACTTAGAGAAAATTTATTTTGCAATATAATTATTTGTTAACACGTTTGAATCCCCTGTTCTCTTCCCTAGACTCAGTCTTTTTATAATTAATACTAAATGTTCATAATAACTATTATTATTAATAAACTCTTTAACAGGACTAACCAGGTCTTGCGCCATTTGACTCCTATAGCCAATAATGTCAGCTAACAATGACCTTGTCCTTTATCCTCTGCCCCTTCACACACACAGCCATTACAGTGCTCTTCTGAACGACCCTCCTTTCATAACTAGCTCAGTTATTACCTCTCCTCTTACCAAGTGTCTCCCTCAGTTCCCCAGGCAAAGGGAATCGCCGCCGCCTCCTCCTCTGAGGTGAACTTGCATGATTGCTGTTCACGTCTACTACTCAACCACAGACCATGAGAGGGTCAGTCAGGGGTGTCTTCTATGCCATGCATGCAAACACAAAAATCTCTAATGAATGAGTGCAAAATAGTATATTTTTATGATCTAAAGTTGCCCAGTGGAACATCATAAATATTTGAAAAGAGCTCTCTAGTACTTGGTACTGAACTGTTATTGAAGGATAACAAAAATAGAGATACCCTAAAATAGTATAGAATCCAGACAGGCCTACATGTGATATTGGACTGTGGTAGATGTTTTTAGCAGATCACTTGAGACAAAGACATTGACAATAAGTAACAATATTTGCATCCCCAGAACAATAACGGGTATGTGATCTATGCCCAAATAGTAGCTTCTACTGTCACTTAGATAGTCCCCCCAAAACTCCTCAGTTCCAAATTCTATTTGTTTTCATGCCATATTCTCCTAATAGTCTGAATTGTTTAAAAACTCCCTAGAACTATAATCACAAATTATACTCAGACCTTCACATTATTTTTTGTGTTAAAAAAAAAAATGTTTTCTGAGGGCTTAATAGAATTTTATTCTCTGAAAGGTGATGATTATCTTTCTCTTATCTAAGAAGATTTTGCTGATACATACTTATTATAATGTTTTTGAGCCATAAAGTTGATAATCATGTTTTTATCCTTCATGGATGATGAAATTTGGGGGGGGAGAAAGGGGCTGTTTTTCTTGTCTCTGGTTAATTCAGATGTTTAACAAAGATATCCCCATCATATAAGGCAGATTTTTAGATTGATGTTTTAAACAACTACAAAAAAAAAGCTGAAAAAACTACCTTAGATGTTCATTTAAAATTTTGCCATATGGTAATGTTGTTTCAAGGTCAGTGTGGACAATGCCTGATGGAAACAAATGAAAAAAAAGTTGCTTCTAAAATCAAAATTTGATTTTAGTTCTAAAGTCAAATTTTACAAAATGTAAAGTACTACCAACTAAGGAAAATCGCTTAAACTTGCAGCATGAAAGCTCCAGTGGATCCAGACTTTGAAAGGCAAATATTTGACACGTTTTTGTTCACAGCTACTGGGTTTTATTTGAAGTTTGGAATCGGCATTCAAGTGGCAGTGTAGGTCTGCTTAAGAAATACCCATCACCCTCTTAAAAAAAACGGACTCCCGAATTGCATTTTAAAACACACACTGGTATTCTTAGGGGAGGAGTAAGTTTGGATTTTTGTTTTAAACAGATGTGATGTTGAGATCTTAACGGGCAGTTTTCACAGTTTAGAATAAAGGGGGTTGGGCCGTGCGTGGAGAGGACTGACAAAGCAGCCCTCAGGGCTGGTGCTGGGAGTGTTCTCCATCCTCACCACATGGTCTGCCCCTCCACAGCACGCCATGCCCTTCTGGAGGGTCTCCAGTCACTCGGACCTCATGGCCCTACATCACGCCCTGGAACTGGAGTACCTGTAACAGTCACCTAGCACTTTGAAGCCGCACAGCCGCCCTGTGACCGGGGGACACACGTCCACCAAGCTGAGTCCCAAGTGGGCGCCAGACTCCAAACTAACATTTCAGAATTTTGACACCCAGCTGCTGTGGGTCCTCGCCTCCACCTCTGTGGGAAATGAAGGACACCACACCCCTTTCTTCAGAACAGCTGTTGACTCCTAGTACTGTGAATCCATTGCAAATAAGCCATGAGAATGTTCTAGCACAGTGCAGTGTGTCTTGGCCACATTAACTAACCATGGTTCGAACCTGTGAAGAAAGGACCTGCAGACGCTTTATGTTTCTAGCATCTTCAATGTGACATAAAACAGCTTCTCCAGTACAGCAAACTTGATTGCACAACAAAGACTGAAATGGGTTTCTTGAGTACCAGTGGGGGGATTTTTCTTGTAAAGGTTTACTTTTTCTGGTGTCTCATACCCAGGGTCTTCTGTACATCTCTACTTATTTATGAACAGACTTTAAAAAAAAAAAAATACAGCTTTATCGAGGTATAATTCAAGAACCATACAGTTCACGCAAACAGACTTTTGACATCAGATAACTGAAGAGACAGTAGCATGATGACAGAAGCAGTCGAAGGCCCTGGCCTCATGACTCAGCAAGTACTTTGAATTTTAGCACATTGCAAAGTAGTTTAAAATATGTCTAATTTAAACGTATAATATGTACATCACTGAGACAATCATGTACAGAAAGAATTTTTGGTGTAAATTTGTAATAATGGATGATTCTTTTACATATTGTTTAGGAAAATGATATTGAAAGGTAGCAATGCCTTGATAGTGAAGTATGAGGTGTACCTGCACAGACATGCAGGGCCTTCTCCAAGTACTGGGTATAAATATGTAGATAATGGATTTTTTTTTTTTTTAAAGATCATGTTGTCAAGACCAAAAGCATGGATGTCAAGTGTCAATAGGATTTTGTTTTCTAATTTTTTTTCCCCCAATCTGTACTTTTTTTAAAAAAATGCTGTTAGGAGGGCCTTGGTAAATAACACATCAGTGTCTTAAACAATTGAGGGGGAGGACAAGTCCTCTTAAAACCTCACTTTTTCATTTTTAGCATTAATGTAGTATAGCTATTTGGCAAAGGACAGTTATTCAAATGCTTCTTCCCACAGAAAGAATGTAGATGATGGATAGATTTTATAAATAAAATGGTTCATGAATTGGACATTAGCAAAGGGACACTATCATGTGTCCAGATGATATTTTCTTGTTTAAGGAAGGCCATCACCACATATCTGCAAATCAGCACAACTTTGTATTACTTCCTTACATTCATGTTCTTTCTCTTTCCCTCCACCTCCCACCCCCGCCTCCCAGAAAAGTTCATTGCCAGCAGTGGGACATGGTCCACTCATCATCACCAAGAAAATAATGCTACTCATTTCACCCCATTCTAATTATATGACAAGCATAAATCTGAGAAATGAAGTTTTTCACCTTTGTAATACCCCCAAAAGAGTTTATCCAAAAGTAATCCATCAGTTTATCTAGACACTAGTTTCTCTCATCTAAAGGCCTTCCATTGTCATGAAATTACTTTTTGGATGAATTTTCTTTAATAGTATATTGGAGGGGAAAAAAGCCACCAGCTTTGACCCAAAGTAGCTACAGAGCTGCCCTATCCTTTCCTAAAGTTTCATGTTGCTGCTAGAATTAGTCAGTTGTGAATATCTCCAAATTGTTTAATCATTGAATTCAGTTGTTTTTTTCCTCTCTTGCTTGAAGCAAACAGAAGTCAACAGTTTTTTAGCCTTTCCATTTTATGTTTTTGTACTCTGCAAACTGAAAAGACAAAAGTTTATCTTGGCCTTACTGTATAAAGGTGTGTCGTGTCCACAACTGTGTACAGACTTTTTCTTCAGTTTGTGTTTAAATTAATAAAACTGATTTGTGAAGTACTGTAAGCTCCCTGTCAGTATTTTCTTCATTGTTTGGTTCTGTAAAATAGCAGGATCTTGGTGGTGGTAGAACACTCATAGTCCAACAAAAGGAAGCTGTATGGAGCAGCTGTAGTAATGGCTTTATCAGCCCTTGCAAGGAACTAAGCTAGGAGAATAACAGCTGTCTCTTTGATCACCATTAAGAACAGATGAATGGAAAAGCCTTTTACTTCCTCTGAAACTATATAAACGAGACCTTCACTCAGATTTATCTGCTATGGAACCGAATTCAGCATCAAGTATCTTGGATGTCAGAGCATAGATTTAGGCACTTCAATACCCAAGGGACAGCAGTGGAAACTAGTTTCCATTCCATTTCATCTGTAAAGAACGCCCACAACATACATCTCTAAGATTTGGCCAGTTTCATCACTGACAAAGAGCTATATAACAGCACAACTTGCTTCCTCCTGGGATTTCATCTTAGAAACACAACATTCACACATACAGAACACATGAACATCAAACATGCAGTGGTCTGACTCATTCTTCAGGCCGAGGATGTTCATTTTTCACATGCACACGTTTGGCCAAGTGGCTTGAATAATGAAGTGTCTGTGCATGCTTGGTCACCCGAGAGTGAGACATTTGGAGAATGTCTGTAGAGAAAGTCAGGGGTGGGGAGTGGAGGGACTTTTAGGTCTCAGGTGAAGAAAGTATGGAATGGAAGAGAGTCAAATGGAGCGCATACCCTCAAATGATGGATTTTCTTAAGTGGTACTTCTAACATGATACACTTTGGTCCATAGATGAGAGGCCACATGTCTCTCCCTGCCATTCTAAACTTTTCAGATACAGTCTGTACTTTCTTTCCAACATTGTCTCTCATTATTCTTACGAACAAACCTTCGGTCCATGTTAACGGAGTTCTTTAATAGACCAAACAGCCCCTAAGAATCCTTGCCTCACCTCTACTCAGAGCTTGCCCACTGCCGTCAGTGACTTCCTCCACCCTCAATCCACCCAAGCCATGTTCAGCTCCAGAGCCTTCTATGCAGAACCTTCTTTCCCATCATGGCACACAGTGTTAGCTCCTTCTCCTGAACTTCTCCCCACCTCCAATGTCCATAGTCTTACTGACTGCTCATAATACCCCCTTCAATAAAGGCTCACTGTGTACCCACCATGGTGAGGGTAGGGGAGTGTTTGTCTGAGATGTTAAGGATAGGAGGCCCTTGATCCTGTGGATGGAGTTTACATCAGAGTAGGCATGAACAGACGAACGAGTGCATGAGTGAATGAATGAGATATATTCAGTTGGAAATGTTCTTTGTAGAAAACTAAAACAGGGAATATATGTAAGTGGCAGGGCTTCCCTGGAAAGGATGGACAGAGCCGAGACAGCTGAACTGAGACCAGCTGCTAAGAGGCAGGCAGCAGGTAGAAAAGAGAGGCACAAAGGTCCTTGGAGAAGACTTCTATTTATCGTGTTCTAGGAGTGAGAATCACACTCATGGGTCCAAGAAGAGATGATTTTGCAAGGGATAGCCACCGAGAGGTCTACACAGGGCTATGACCCAAACTGATACATCCTTTGAAATGACCACTCTGGCTGCTGGGTGGAGAGTGGACTATAGAAGGGCAAGAGAAGAACTGGGGAAATTAGTCATTAGGCCAAACAGCAAGGTCCAGGCAAGCAGCAGCCAGATTCAGATTAGGATGGGAAAAAGAACACTTGGATTTATTTTTAGCAATAGCAACAACAGCACTGGCTGATGGGTTGAAAGAGGTGAGCAGTGGGACACAAGAGGAGAGTGGACACCCCAAGGGTAAGGCGTCTCCCCACCCACTGAGAGGTAGTACACCGAGTGGTTAAGAACCTGCCTCTGCAGGCAAGTTGCCTGGGTTCAAATCCTGGCTTAGCCATTTTATCTTGCCAAGTTAACTTCACTGTGCCTTAGTTTCCTCATCTGTAAAATGGGGATAACAATAATACCTACTTCAGACCATTGGAAAAGGAAATGGCAACCCACTCCAGTATTCTTGCCTCGAGAGTTCCATGGACAAAGGAGCCTGGCAAGCTATAGTCCATGGGGTCGCAAAGAGTGACTGTCTTACACTGAGTGACAACTGAGTGACTTAGTACTCACTTCAGACCATTACCATGAGGACCAAGTAAGTTCATGTGAATAAAGTGCTTGGGACACCACTTGGCAAATTATCGAATGCTATTCATTCACATGCTTGCTAAGTATTCATAGACATTTTTTTTTTTTCTCTCCAACTAAAGAATCAGCTCTTTGATGGCACAGACCATTTACAAGGAGATTGCATTTTCCTGGACTAGTCAAGGAAAGTGAAAGTTACAGTGTTAGTCACTTAGTCATAGCTCAAACTGCAGTCTCACCAGTCTCCTCTGTCCATGGGATTGTCTGGGCAAGAATACTGGAGTGGGTTGATATTTCCTTCGCCAGGGAATCTTCCCAACCCAGGGATCAAACCTGGGTCTCCTACACTACAGGCAGTCTTTGCAGTCTGAGCCACCAGGTAGGCCTAAGTCTAGGAAACAGGATGAAAAAGACAACCATTATGTAGCAATTCTTTTTTAATAGCCACCACCCCAATGTTTGAGGTCAGGAATTAACGAGTTTCCTAAATGGAAAGGAAATCCGAAAGGAAGAGGATATATGTATATGTATGGCTGATTCACTTGGCTGTACAGTAGAGACTAACAACATTGTAAAGCAATTATACTCCAATAACAATTAATTAAAAAAAAAAAAAAAGGACTTCTCTGGCGGTCCAGTGGTTAAGAATCCATCTGCCAATGCAGGGACACAAGTTCAGTCACTGGTCCAGGGAAACTAAGATCCCACATCCTGCGGGACCCTAATCCCTGATGCCACAACTTCTGAGCCCTTGTGCCTACCCTAGAGCCCTGCTCCACAACAGGAGAAGCCACAGCAGAAAAGCCCATGCACTGCAACTAGAGAAAGTCCCCTCAAAACAATGAAGAGCCCCTGAGCGGAAATGAAGACCCAGCACAAGTCCTTAATAAGTGAATAAA